GTCCTGAGGAGGACGAGGGCACGGAGCAGGGAAGGGAGAGGAAATTCCGAAATGACCAGGACGAGAGGTAACGTACGGTAGGATTTTTTGCCCAACGCGTTGCGGCGGCGACCCTGGCGACAGGCGGTGCCCTGCTAGCGAATAGCGTGTCGCTCCGCTCCGCGGGGCGGGAGCTGGGAACAGGTCGGGACGCTGGCGGCGGGGAGCAGGGAACTGGACAGCGTGTCGCGCCGAAGCGTGGTGGGCCGGAAATGGCGTGGCGACGCGCTGAACCAAAGTTCCTGACAGTACTTAGAAGCGACGGAACACAACGAAGGCGGAAAAGAGGGCGCCGCATCAATGCTGAAGTCAGACGTACCGTAGGATACGCCGCTGGACTAAGCTGTGATTCCCAAGCGGGCCTCTCGCGCCGCATGCCGAAATCATTCGAACGCCCTTGCGCGCGTGCTGGCGGCCACTCTCGCGCGTCGGCCGCGCGCGCATGTCGAACTTTTTCCAAAACGTGCATCGCCGACGCGAAGACGCCGTCACTGGCCGTGCCGTCGTCTTGGTTTGCATCGTTACCAACATCTCTACTATCATCATCGTGTCTACCGTTGTCGACGTTGCTATGATACCGCGCCCGCCCAAGTCGCCGACTCGCACTGAAGTGCCCGTCGGGATGTGTCGACCGGTTAACGACACCGCGACCCCGTCGGTCGCGCCAAACTACCTGCCCGCTGCGCACGCGTGCATGCGCGGGCTGGCGCGGCCGCAGAGATGCACCAACCAGCGCCAAGCACTCATCGAAATCGCCGCCGCATGGGGCTTGCAAACCAAGATGCGGGTGGGTGGGTGGGATGTTTGCGCGAACGGTGGAGTGGACAAATCAGTGCGAACAGAAATTAATTCTCCTTTCTAAAAAGAAAATAAAAATCATCACCACCCCGAGGTCGGATTTATCGGTTCTCTATGGGGATGTGCAGTTTACACACGGTTCTGCCCCATCGCCCATCTTAAATATGAACTCGTACCGTCCCAAGCGAACCGGTATCGACACTCCCCGTCACCCCCTGCAAAAAACAATGCGCGCGCACACCTTCATCAAATGCCATCAGTTGTCAAGAATATCTTGCAAAAACTCGGGCGACATGCGCACGCGCGCGTTGTCGCGCGCGGGTGCCGAAATCCTTTAAAAACCGCTGGCTTCGTAAAGATTTCAAAAACCGAGTGTCCCAAAACCTTTTTGTTGTAAAACGTGGTCTCGCAACGTGAACTTTCCAACAACAAAAAAACTCGCGCGCTTTTCCGAATTCGAAAAAAAAAAACATAAGTGTTTCACCATGTTTTAAAAATACTACCAAATGGGCTTCGCGCGCGCATGTCGAAATCATTCGAACGCCCTTGCGCGCGAGCCGTCGCGAGAACCCGTTACAAAAAGTAAGACGAGACGCGCGCGCGCGTCGCCGCGCGCGCGTGCCGAAATGAGTCACAAACCGATGGTGTCGTAGCGATTTCAGAACCGAGTGTCTAAACACACATACACAAACAACTGGTTTCGCAGCATCAGCTGTCAAAAAAAAAGCGTGCGCTCGCGCTCTTGCGCATTCTGGAAAAAAACAGTGGTTGATTCAACGTGTTCATTGCATTCTGCCAAACGGGCCTCTCGCGCCGCATGCCGAAGTCATTCGAAAGCCCTTGCGCGCGTAGTGTCAAAGAGTACCATGCGGCTACTCTCGCGCAGCGGCTGCGCCCGCATGTTGAACTCCTGTCAAAAACCTTCATCACCGACGCGAGGACGCCGTTTTCGTCGTAGGCGTGGTCAGCATCGGAGCCTTCATTGGCCTTGCCGTCGTCCTTGTCAACATCGTCACCATCGCTACTATTATAATCGTGTCTACCGTCATCGACGTTGCCATGATACCGCGCCCGACCAAAACACCGACTCTTACTGAAGTGCTCGCTGGGAAGTGCCAAGCGGCCAGCGCCACCGCGGCCGCGTCGGTCGCGCCGATCTAGCTGGCCGCTGCGCGCGCGGGCATGCGCGGGCTAGCGCGGCCGCAGAGATGCACCAGCCAATGCCAAGCACTCATCGCAATCGCCCTCGCATGGGTTTTGCAAACCAACTTGCGCGTGGGTGGGTGGGGTGATTGCGCGAGCAGTGGGGTCGACAACTTCAAGTTCGGCAACGTGAGTTCTCCCTTCTAAAAGAGAATAATACCGGAGAGAACCCCAATCGTAATCGTTTTAGGGCTATAGGGCTATGGGGCTATAGGGCTATAGGACCATAGGGGTATAGGTCTATAGGGCTATACCTATACGACCGCCCTGCGGGCGATAAGGAGGTTGGGGGGGCATTGAGATCAAATGCCCACCCTGACTGACCTCCAGCCTGTCACCTTGATATCATATCTCTCTTTCTCGCTCTCTCTCTCTCTATCTTTCTGTCTCTCTCTCTCTTTCTCTCTCTCTCTCTCTCTCGCCATCTCTCTCTCCCTCCCTATCCGAGTATCCCGTTAATGGAGATTGGAAGACATGAATTGAATTGGAAGAAATGGATTGGATTGGAAAAAATGGATTGGATAAGATCAAATAGAATGGATTGGCCCGCCGCAGGCGCAGAAACAAATGATTTGATGGATTGGGTTGGGTGGATTGGATTGGGTGGGATAAGATGAGATGGGACAAAATGGGTTGGATAAGATAAGATGGATTGGATTAGACAAGATGGATTGGAGAAGATAAGCTGGATTCGGTAAGAAAGCCCGCCGCAGGCGCCGAAACAAATACATTATGAAATTAACGACATGCGTTAGCGCCGGGACGCCCGGGACACCCGGGACACCCAAGACACCGCCCGGCCCAACTGGGACACCTCCCGGCCACCGGCGGACGGGATACGGACTTTCGCTCCTACTGACACCCGGGACACCCGGGACACCGCCTGGCCCAACTGGGACACCTCCCGGCCACCGGCGGACGGGAAACGGACTTTCGCTCCTACTTCGGCCTAGCTACAGGAGGATCACGCGCAGCTTCGCCTCGCCCGCACGCACGACACGAACGCGAAACCGAAACCGAAACCGAGTTCCCGGTGGGGGGTCTCCGTTTCACTGCGATCTCACCCACCAACCTCCGACGGCTACAAGGCTATAGGCATATAGAGCTATAGGGCCATAGGGCCATAAGGCTATGTAGGGCTATAGGGTTATGTGGCTATGTGGCTATAGGGCCATAGGGCTATCAGGCAATTAAACTATAAAGAAATAAGGCTGTACGGCTACAGGGCTATAGGGCTGTAGGCCTACAAGGCTATAGGGCTATAAGGGTATAGGGCTATAGGGCTATAGGGGGCTATAAGGCTACAGGGCTATAGGGCACCCAGGCACCTGGGCACCCAGGCACCCGGGCACCTGGGCACCGGGGCGGGCCGCCGAAATCGGCGACGCAACTCCTGGGCACCTGGGCACCCGGGCACCCAGGCGTGCCGCCGAAATTGGCGGCGCACCTAACCAAACCATATGAATCCGCCAGGACGCCTATACACACGCAAGCTCCGATTGGGGTATACCCCCCCCCCCCGGGATTATCAACACCCCTTTTCGTGTTGTAATTTGCATATGATTCTGCCCCATCGCCCATCCCAAAAAAGAGCCCATACCATCCCAGCCAAACCGGCATCGCCCCCCCCCCCCGCCGCCCCCCGTTATCTTTTGCAAAAGCGTTATGCGCGCGCACTCGTTTATCAAAAATCACAAGTGTCCAAGAACCCACTGCAAAAAACGAAACGAAGTGCACGCGCGCGCGTCGTCGCGTGCGCATGCCGAAATCATTCAAACACTCTAGGTTTCGGAAAGATTTCAAAATCGAGTGTCCGAAAATCAAATAAACACGCATGGTTTCGCAACACGGAATTCCAAACAAAAAAGAAAAGCGTGCGCGCGCGCTCTTGCGAAATATTACGAACATCGGTTCATCAACATTTTCAGAGCATGCTACCACACGGGCTTCACGTGCGCGCGTGTCGAAATCGTTCGCACGCCCTTGCGCGGGTGTAAGACAACCATTTTTTTCAATATGCTCACTCAATTCTGCCAACTCGCGCCGCATACCGAAATCATTCGGGCGCCGTTGCGCGCGTTCTGGGGGGCCAAAGCGCCAGTGCGTTTCGGGACTATGTGGTAACCGACAAGTCCGAGGGCCAAAACGCCCATCCCTAGGACGAAAGTTTTTCCTCTTGGGCTCGGAGCAACGGTTTAAACTCTTGAACAGACGCGTCTGAGATAACCGCCGTCGGATCCAATGAAATTCGCGCGGATCCAAATTTGGTTTTGGATTTTTTTTCGGCGGATCCGATGTCTGCCCGCGCGGATCCGATTTCGGATTTCCTGAATCCGCATCCGTTCTTATCATTTACGGCGGATCCAAATTGCACCCAATGATATACATATATAAATATATTTGTACATATATATATGTAAATATATGCACACACTATGGGTCATCAACCTCCCACGATGGGTCCCGCGCTGTCTCGCGCACTCACATCAACTTTCCGCACGCGCGCGGGTCCCACTCAACATGAATACATCTCTCTCCTCCCAGTTGCTGCGTGCAGTTCGTCCAGGCGCCGTCCGTTCGGCGGTTCCGATATTATATCGCGCGCTCATCATCGCCGTTGTCACCTCAAGAGGAAAGTCATTCGTCCTGCGTAAATATCGAGCAGAATCGAACTGAGAGCTAACGAGAGCGGGAGAGCAGAAACGCGCAGCGGGCCCCGACGCGAGCGTGGGCGTGCGGGAAGATGCAGAAAGAAAGCGTGGTGCTCGGCGATCGGTTTGCAGGCCGGAGCTCGGGTGCCACCGGGAAGCCTGAAGAAACCGGACCCCAACTGGGCCATTTGCACCTCGGAGATATGGCCTCGGGGTGGGGATGGCCTCCTGCCGTCATCGTCCTTGTCAAGGTCGCTGTCGCCCTCCCAGTCGTCCACGGCGCCAGAACCTCCCGCACAAGAACGAGCG